TATTTAGTTACATTCTATTAGAGGTTATTCAATTAATTAGCTCATTTCTTTGGTAGACATATCTTTAGTTATGTTCAGTATCTATAAAGAAGGTACCTAGCTTAGCTGTTATTTAGACATATATGCTTGGGGTCCATAAATAGGATACACTAACTTAGTTGTTATTCAGGCTTTTACAATTTTATACAATTTTATATGAATGCTATTAAGATATTCAGTTACTATTGGGATCTGAGATCTTTATTTGGTTCTTTGTTAATTGTTCTTTGACTATTGTGTTAAAGTTCTCTATTTCCTAAATTAATATTGCTTAATATTTTTCTATTTTGCACCACTGTCTGCAGGTTGGCTACATTGTCACAGCTTGTTTGCTCAATGAAAACCATGATTTTCTAAGACTAGCAATAAACACAGTCCGCAATGACATCATTGGTCGAAATGAAACTTTCCAGTGCCTGGCATTGACTATGGTATGTTATATATGTAATTGTGGTAGATGAAAAATAATTCTTTTTCTGCGTCCGAAAACCATGTTTGTGTTTTCCTTGTTGTGGATTTTTGCAAAATGCTCTTTTTAAACTCTGTTTGGTTCTATTAAAAATTTTCTTTTGAAGCTCATGCTGTGCTGATGATTTTTTTGCCCTGCAATATCATTCCGTAGTGAATTAATATTTCCTGCTTCGGTTCCTTTCCTTATGCTTGGGTTCTGAGCTACAAAATTTCATGTGTTCTCTCATAGGTTGGGAATATTGGTGGGAGAGAATTTGCCGAATCTCTGGCGCCTGATGTTCAAAAACTACTTGTGAGGAACACTAGATAGTTGTAATGTTTAATGTGCATTAGTAGGAAAAGATTGGTAAAACTAATACTAACCTGTCCTTTTGTTTTAGATATCAAGTAGTTGCAGACCACTTGTCCGAAAAAAGGCTGCACTATGTCTGCTGCGACTGTATAGGAAAAATCCTGATGTTGTCAATGTAGATGGCTGGTATGGGTTTACAAATATTCTCGAAACACCTAGCAATTTGTAACAGTGACACATCTCTGATTTTAAAATTGTTATCATGTATCTTAGGGCGGACCGAATGGCTCAGCTTTTGGATGAGCGTGATCTTGGTGTTTTGACATCTTCTATGAGCCTTCTTGTTGCTTTGGTATCAAATAACCACGAGGCATATTGGAGCTGTCTTCCAAAATGTGTCAAAATATTGGAACGCCTTGCTAGAAACCAAGATGTTCCACAAGAATATACTTACTATGGTATTCCATCTCCGTGGCTTCAGGTCTGTGTACCCGTACCTTGGTTCTCTTTTTGAAACGTCCTCTGTAGTCTTTATGTTTTAGGATTCCTTCTTTCTTCTTTTTCCTTGTATAATTACTATGGTGGTGTTCCACAGGGAAGTGTAATTGCATCTGCAGATCCACATTTTTATTTTTAGAATGTGATAGCGAATGCATAAATTTTGTAGGATTCACTTTCCCAAGCATAGCCGTAGGGATTAATACCTACAGATTGAGGTTTAGTTTATGTTTAATATTAGGTTTTGATCCTTTTTGGAAAGAAATGTTTTTTCAAAAGATCTCTTGGAAAGAATTAATTTTTTCTTTAAGCAATTAATATGCATTTTAATTCCTTTTGATGCTGATAATTATTTCGTAATCACAGGTTAAAACAATGAGGGCGCTTCAGTATTTCCCAACAATTGAAGATCCAAACACCAGAAGATCGTTGTTTGAGGTTCCTCTCTTTCTGAAAGACTTGCCTATAAACTTTATAGATATCTGTTTTTAATGATATATTGAATTGGTGACTTCAGGTATTGCAGCGAATATTAATGGGAACTGATGTTGTGAAAAATGTAAATAAGAACAATGCATCACATGCTGTTCTCTTTGAAGCTCTTGCTCTTGTAAGTCTGCTGCCCATATAAGCTTTTAACTATGTGAAAGTCTCTACTCTCCCCCCCTCCCCCTCTCTCTCTCTCATGCAGAGATGCATGTACAGACAAATGGTGTCAATTTGTGCGTATAGGTAAGTTGAGTCAAGTGATGGGTATTTTGTGATTTTTCATCCAAAAACAACAAGAATAAATGAAATAAAGCACAGCCCATTTTGTTAATCATGTCAGAAGTCAAAACCCAGAACCAAAAGATGATACTAAAACACAAGAGTTAATATGAAATGACCTGTGTCCCTCAACTTTTAGATGAGTGAAGTGGATCATGTTGGTCTTTCAAAAAAAAAAAAGAAATGGATTATGTTGGATTGAAATAACTAGTTTTATACAAATAAATAATTTGATACAATGGTTATTTGAAAAGAAAATTTAATACAATGTTAACTAAAAGAATTATGTAACATGATATGATTAAACTGTCATCTGTTAACAGCATCTTAAGTTTCCTGTAAAAGGGTATGATTATCCTGAGAATATAATGATTATAGGAAAAGATCTTATTATATCGTTTGGTAGGTTGAGTTAGGAGTACTTAGAATTGCAATTTCAGAAGAAGCTCTAGTCTTGATTCATAAGTTGGGATCATGAATCAGAAGATGGCCAATTTAGGATCTGATCCGGTCATTTTACCTGCAGGCTTTAGGACAATGATACCTCATCAACATTACAATTCATAAATATCAGTTTGTTTTATATGATACTTTATAATTTTAATAATTAAGACAATTATATAAAATTGAAGTTTATGTACTAATAAATTATATAAATTTATTAGTTATATGTTTAAACAAATATAATAATGAGAGGCATAATAGTCATTTTCAGTTTGTTATAGTTTTATTGTAACTTTTAGTTCTATCGAACTAAATATAGTAATGACATTATAATGAAGCATTAGTAATTACGAACCAGGCATCTTAATATTAATGCAATTCGATTGTAACATTTTATTTCTTTTAAATAGTTATTCTATTCCAGGTGCATTCCATTGAAAAAACTATATATTCCTAGGTTTGTAAATAATTTGTATACAGGTTGACTCCCCTTTGGTGTCTGTTAATATAATTCTTACTTTTATTTTTAAAAAAATATTCCTAAATAAGTTTTTACCTTATAATTATATTAAAATTTTAGTTGAAGCGTTAATAATATATAAAATAATAGAGTGAACTTTTTTTTTTAAAGTTACGCTTTTAGGTTGACTAATTCAACTCAATTATTTCATATTGTTAGAGGAGAGGCTTTGAGGTCAAACTTTGAGAATTATGCTTATTATTATTCACCGGTTTTTTGCTGACACTGGGTCTTTTTGCAAAGTCCTTTACTCTGTATGTTTTGGACCTGGGTTGATTTGCATTTTTGTGCTGATCTTGGTATCCTGCCTGTATGTGAGGATAGAGTTTGTAAATAATAAAGTTGGAGCATTTGCTACTGGTTAGTCTTTTAGGATAGTCATTATCCAATTCAATTATTTTACTAAAAAAAAAAAGTTGTAAAGTTGTATTCTATGTGCATGCATATGCTTGTTTGAATGTGTCTGTTCATGTGGGTCATGCGATTAACAGTTTGTTTGGGCTGTTAGATTGAACAATATTGTAATATAATAGTTATTTCATGATAATGAATAAGGTTGTAATGACATTGCGATTATATTATATTGTTTAGTTTGCAACTGGGAATAACTTATTACAACCTTATTTGCTATATTTGATTTGGTTGTAAATGTGGATGGAATAAATCTTAATTAGTTTTAAATGACTAGAATACCCTTTTATTGTTTTTCGGATAAAAATAGATTTTGTTACACTTTCACAATTAGATTATTGATTGAGATTGCATAAAAACTAATTATCAAATATTTCTCTAATACCAGATAAAAGTTAATTAACTTTGTATAAATTTTGAAACAATCTAGGTAATATGAATTTGTTCCCCACATAACTTAAGAAATAGTTTAAATACATAAGAATTTGTCAATTCCAAACAAGAACCTTGCATCTTCTCTCTAAGCAGAGTTATTTGAGGTGTAGAACTGGAAATTGTGGAAGAGAGTTTTTATGGAAGAAAATAAAAGCCAGAGACATAAAAGAGAAGAGGAGAAGTGTATCTTTAATAAGATTTTAATTTTAATTTATTTGTTGAAGTTAGGGTATATTAGATATAGAATAGTGTAAATTGAAGGTATAATTGACTCAAAATAAGAAAGTGATAATTTTGAGGTGGCTGTAGTCATTATTTATGACCCCTATGCTTGAATAACAATTACAACAGTTGCTGTAATCACAATTCTATTGGAATTGCAATTCAGGGAACCAAACATGGCAATAAGAGTGTCTAATAGATAACATTACATTGCATCCCCATTTTGAATCTGTTAGCCAAATAGGTTTTAAATCTTTCGAGACGGGACAGATAAACCACTGTGTTAATCTCAGATCAGTTAGGGTAAGCAAATCAATCCAACTCCCCTGGTAACACTTGACTTGGTTCTGACAAAAGAATAATCTAAGACAAGGCTAAATCTCTAAATATATCTAGGGTTACTTGTGTCCATTTATTGTCTTACGCAGATGTAGAACTGAATCAATTCTAGATCTCAAACATGTTTCTTGTAAACATGAATCTTTTTCTTCCCTCAATATCATCCAATTTTTCAAAGTAATACTATTTACTCAAGAGTTACATGAAATGCATGGGGGAAACAATTAAGCATTATGTTTCAGAAATAAATGTTAGAATACTTATGTAAAATGGGCAACGGTAATGATCATATTCATGTGAGCATTATGCTTCTCAAAAATATCAAAAAGATAAAAGGCAGTATCTGTTGTAAGCAGGAGTTTTTGTGAATGATGATGCTTCATTCTAGTTTCACGTGCATGTGGACTATGACACATCATGCTTGGACAAAAAAAAAAATCTCTTCATTGTGGATGCCTCTGGAAAGTCAGTTGGCTGTTGCTATAATCTATGTTGGCATATTAAGCTTAGATATGGCTGAGCTTCTACGTGCTTTGTTATAACCTTATTTGTCATTGATTATCCTTTTTAGGTCATGCATCTTGATGCTGAAAAGGAGATGATGTCTCAGTGTGTTGCCCTTCTAGGAAAGTTTATTGCAGTGAGGGAACCAAATATTAGATATCTTGGCTTGGTAAGTTTTTGAAACAGAACATTTTATCTTTTTGAATTTTCTACTTGATCTTCTTGAGGAACCTTTGGCCAAAGAAGTTCAAACTTGGGCTTCTTTTTTCTTGAACTTAAACAGTGCATATCTGGTTGCTTTCCATTTCAGCAATTTTGATGTTATATAGCTAATGCATGGGTGCAGGAGAATATGACTCGAATGTTGATGGTAACAGATGTTCAAGATATTATTAAAAGACATCAGGCTCAGATCATCACGTCACTGAAGGATCCTGATATCAGGTTACATTTTGGCATCAAAATCTCCATCCTACTTTTCTAGTTTCTAGTTTCTTGCGGAAAATGTTAGATGTCTTGATGCTCTTAAATTGTGCATACGTGAATACCTCTTTTCTTCTTTCTCAAATGAGATTATGTTGACATGCTTCTCTCTTGGAAATGGCCGATGATCTAAGTAATCTCAGTGATTATAATGGTTATTTTTCTGGGACATGTAATCAAATGATACAAAACCTATTCTCCTAACTTTCACTTGATATTGTTTAGTGCTTTTTAAGGATTTGATTTTTGCAGTTTTGTCGCTCAAGTAACATTTTCTTAAGGTTGAGTCTCTTTTTCTAACATCAATGTGTTCCCCACAGCATTAGAAGGCGTGCCCTTGACTTGCTTTATGGTATGTGTGATGTTTCAAACGCTAAGGACATAGTTGAAGAAATATTGCAGGTATAAAATGTCGTGAATACCCGTTACCAATCTTTGCTTAGTGATCAAATTTTATTTTAGTTCTGTATTAGTACACTGAAAGGTTTGAAGATAAGTAGCATGCCACTAAATTTCATATGTTTCAGTATCTTAGTACTGCCGACTTTGCAATGCGGGAGGAACTCTCACTAAAAGCTGCAATTCTTGCAGAGAAGTTTGCTCCTGATCTTTCATGGTAAGAACAATTTCCGAATGCAAGAATTGGAGAATTCAGGGACAATTCAGCAAAATGATTCATGCATAAGCTAAAAGAAAATCAGAAGTAGCAATCGAATTTTTTTCAAATATATATTTATTTTTAACCGATTTCTTGAAGCTTTCGTTGTTCTTTTCTAATAAGAAAAATATGAAAACATAGCTTCCATTGTTTGAGTCATATTTATGGGAGGTTGAGAGAAGATTGATGTGTCAGTTTTGATTATTTAGCTGTTTGTTGCAGTTACAATGAGATGGGCTTTTCTCTTCTTACAATGTCACTACTTAATTATCTTGCATGGATGGATTGGATGAGCCAGTAATTCGATAGAGGGCCCTTATGCACTCATGTTATTTATTGAGATTCAGGAAGAGAAAAGCCTTTATGGGGTTTAATTTTCCTTCCTTTTTAAGTACTTGCCTCTATATTGTCAAAATCATGTTAAATGTTGTAGGTTACTAATCCTATGCATATAACATTTTTAAATGTTTTGTATTTTGTTGGGCATCGAAATGTCAACCATATGTCGTCCTTTGCATTTTAATGTTGGAACCTTTTCAATATTTTTCAGGTATGTAGATGTTATCCTTCAGTTGATTGACAAGGCAGGAGATTTTGTTAGTGATGACATATGGTTTCGAGTAGTGCAGTTTGTCATGAACAATGATGACCTACAGGTGATCAAATGCTCGTTAGAGCCTTTTTACACCTTGTTACTAATGTACTTTATTCTTCTTTCTGAAACTTTATGTTGTTGATCAGCCTTATGCAGCAGCAAAAGCAAGAGAATATATGGACAAGCCTGCCATACATGAGACAATGGTCAAGGTGCGCATATGCAATTTTCTCACCATGCAAGATCTAGCTGCATTTGAAAAGCTATTGTGTATCTGGATGTGGAAAACTTTTTCAGATAGTATCATAAAAACTCCTTATTTCTTTATCATTGTATCAAGTTGTTCATTGTATTTTTCATTACATGAATTCACCCCATCAATTATAGGATGTGTCTAATGGCTTCATAAGGGCTACAAGAGAAAAATCAGTGACTTTATTGTGCATTTAGAAGCAATAACGGTTAAAAATTTACGAAGTACTTCTGAGCAAAGGCAATGTCGTTAATTAATTTTGTCATCTTACGGTATTATTTTATTTGTCTTGTAAAACTGTTGACTAAATTGATTGAATTAAAAATATGAGCAACTTAATGCAACAATCAGAAAACATATCTTTTTCTACTTTGACATCAACGCAACAGTGTGGTGAAGAACACATGTAAATTTGCATCAAGGTTGCAACCTTTCATAGGGTGACTGTTAGATTTAACATTTAATTTTGCAGCCAAACTGTGGAGAGTTTGTTCTGATACTTACTGTACTTGATTGTCTTCCAGACATGAACTTTATGGTTTTATATTAGGGACATTGTACACTTGCATTTCTCTCTTTTTTTTTGAAATAAAACACTTGCATTTCTCATATTAGTGGAGATTTGGCATATTATTGACTCTGCTTTGTGATAAGAAAGTACCAAAGATGTTATCAAATGCCTTTTTATCTGTTTTTCTTGTGCCAATTGTGTTGATGATGTCTAATTATTTACTTAATTCATAATAATTTGTTACTTAATATAGTATTTGCATAAGAATTATAACTCTAATATAGTTATGATATATGGTAACAGGTCAGTGCTTACATCCTTGGAGAGTATAGCCACCTTCTAGCAAGACGGCCTGGCTGTAGTCCTAAGGAAATCTTTAACATCATACATGAAAAACTTCCTACTGTATCGTAAGATAACTTACCATTGCGCCCGTTCTTAAAATATTCCCAGCATTGATTTTGGTGTATCTTATCCAGAATTCATTTGCAGGACATCAACCATTCCTATTCTTCTTTCAACTTATGCTAAGATCTTAATGCACTCTCAACCCCCAGATCCAGAACTACAGAATCTGATCTGGGCAATATTTAACAAGTGAGATCCCCCCTAATTTAAAACCTATCCATTGTTTACATCATCGTGGTCTTTATAGATTCATTTACTGCTGAATCATCTGATTTTGTTAAGTGCTTGTTATTCTTTCTTTCAGATATGAGAGTTGCATTGATGCAGAGATTCAGCAAAGAGCTGTTGAATATTTTGCATTGAGTAGAAAAGGTGCTGCTCTAATGGATATATTGGCTGAAATGCCCAAATTCCCTGAGCGTCAGGCATGTCTATCTGTTTCACAACTTTTTTTAAGAGCAGCCATATAGTGGCACCAATCTGTTCATCAACTATGATTTTGATGGCTTGCTTAAAAGTATGTTGGAAGTAATAATATACATCTTTCTTAATTTACAGTCTGCATTGATTAAAAAGGCAGAAGATACTGAAGTTGATACTGCAGACCAGAGTGCTATCAGGTTGAGGGCCCAACAGCAAAGTTCAAATGCTTTGGTTGTAACTGACCAACGCCCTGCAAATGGAGCGCTACCAGTTAACCAGCTTAGTATCGTAAAAGTGCCCAGCATGAACAGTGGCACGGTAAGTTCTTATTCTGTGGAACCTAGAATTTGTGGTTCTCCAATTTTCCTCCTGTGTTTCCCTTTTGGTATAAATGTTCTGCATTTTTATTTATAATTGGAAAATCATGTGCAATTTTGCATTCTTGACAGGATAATAGTTCTGCTGACCAAGCTCATTTACAGCCCAATGGAACCTTGACCAAAGTAGATCCTCAACCACCAGCAGATCTCCTTGGTGATCTGTTGGGCCCCTTGGCTATTGAAGGCCCCCCTGAAGCTGCCCCCAAATCCGAGCAAAATGTGATATCTGGCTTGGAAGGTTCTCCCGTTGTTGTGGATGGGACAGCCATTGTACCTGTTGGAGAGCAAACTAGCAGTGTACAGGTATTATTTTCTGATATCTCTCTCTACTGCATGTCATCTTTTGAAGTTGTCAGTAGGTCTCGAGACGGTTTTCCTTCAACTTTATCTAAACTTGTGCATGCTTTTGGCCGTTATCATCGTGGAAAAGATAATGAGACAAACCGAACCTACCTTGTTAGATGGAGGCTGCCCATGATTGCGTAGCTCTTGACTATTTTTCACTGCGAAGTGCAGCTGGGTAGCAGTGAGGGCTTTTGTATTAGACATAGGGTTATTGGTTATTATTTAAGATGGGGCCTTTTCTATCCTTTTCTCTGTCGTCTTATTTTCACAAAGAGGTTTCTTGTAAGTTTGCTTATGTTTCCAAAGTTCAAAATAATTATTTTCTACGAAATATTGAAATGTACGTTCACTGTGTTTTTTTTTTTGGGGGTGGGGGGTTGTGGGGGAGCGAGCTTGTGAATAAAATAAAGGAATTCTTGTTGTCTTTTCTATGATTTTGTTATTTTTATTGTTTTAGACATGGTCTTTTCCACTCAATTTCACATCACATCTATGTGGGGGGTTCAGAAAAATGAGTTTCTGTGGTTTATGATTCTTTCATAAAATTTATCAATTTCTTCCTCACATTAGTATGCACTGAAAGTGTAATGTAAAAGATGGCTTATCCCCTTCATCAAACATCTAAAGTCATCACTTGTTACTGATTGTGGAATGTATTATTGACTCACCTTTAACATGGCTTTCACTATTTACATGTACAGCCAATAGGAAATATTGCTGAGAGGTTTCATGCTTTATGCTTGAAGGATAGCGGTGTTATGTATGAAGATCCATACATTCAGGTAATCTCTTCTTCTCTCATTATTTACCCCGTCTTTGCCTTCTCTAGTTAGAATTGCAGCTTTTGAAGGAAGCTTCCATATGAGTCCCTTTTGTGATTACCTTGTTCAGAGTATCTCAGGTTGGCATAAAAGCGGAAGGGCGAGGCCACCATGGTCGAATAGGGATTTTCTGGGGAAACAAGAATACCTCTCCTCTAGTGTCAGTACAGGCTTTAATGGTGCCTCCTGCCCATTTAAAGATGGAGCTCTCTTTGGTACCTGAAACAATTCCCCCTCGGAGCACAGGTTAGAACATTCTTTTAGGACTCCCTGTTCCTTATCCACACAGACACCCACCCATCCATCGATGCATGCACACACTTACATGCACATTGTTTATTGGTTCCTTTTATTAATATCCATGCTTTTGTAGGTGCAATGCCCGCTTGAAGTTGTGAATCTCCGCCCTAGCAGGGATGTAGCGGTTCTAGACTTCTCCTACAAGTTTGGTACCAATATGGTACTTATAGTTAAAATCCGATTTTTTATCCACTAGCAATCTATGAGGGTCTAGTATTTCTAACTGCTGTAATCATTATTTTTTGCTAGGTTAATGTTAAGCTTCGCCTTCCAGCTGTTTTGAATAAGTTTCTTCAGCCAATATCAGTTTCTGCTGAGGAGTTTTTTCCTCAGTGGAGATCACTTTCAGGACCGCCTTTGAAGCTTCAAGAAGTGGTATGTTTCTTTTGCCTCTGTTTGCATAAAAATCAGTTGTTTTGCCCAGTGCGTCTGCAAACATGCACACCGTGAAAGAACCAAAAAAATGAAGGCAAGAGTCAAATAATTAGTTGAGTGACAACTTATTTTATGAACTTATGCACACACTGAAAGAACAAAAGGAATGAAGGTGGAGTTAATAATTAGTTGAGTGAGAAATTATTTTAAAAGTTTAAACTGTTAAGATAGATTAATTTTATCGTTTATGTGCTAATATGCCCTGTCACACATGAGGGGTCTAACAAGCTTGGCATATAAGGACAAGCCAAATGGAAATGGCTAAATAACGAGGGGTTAAAGTTTCTCTATTTGGATTCTTTGATAGATGATTGATTTTGATTGAGTGACTAATTATATCAAAACTTAGTTGATTGGAGATTACCCAATTATAGCATTGTATTCTGACTAGGGCAAATCACTTTCTTTCCCTTCTAGTGACTTTTCCTTTTGATGTGGCTTCATCATCATCAATAACTTCTAGTTTAAATTTTTTCAGCAGGAATACCAAATTTATCGTGAAAAGAGAAATTGGTTATCTTTTGCATACTCATCTCTTGTCATTGTAATATGGCTTTGTCATCAGTTTCTAGTTTAAATTTCATTGAGGCAATCACTGTTCAACTGAGAGAATACGTTATCTGAGTTGCTCGTATTCCATGTTGCTTGGACTCTTTAATTTTAGTACCATGCCTGTCTTCGACATGAAACAATATTGGTGGGGCATGGGATTTTGTCCAACAATGTGCACGTCAAACACTTGAAGATTTGAACTAGAAGTTATTATATATGATAGTATGAAGTTGATGATGAAAGCTCTTATGGTTGAAGTTTGAAAGAGAATACATATTCTTGAATGTCTGACTTATAAATTTTTGTATAATGAATAATTAATTAGTTATGTATTACTAATTATTATCATTATTTTTTTTTCATTTACTACAAATGTGAGTGCTATCTTTTTGTGTTGAAGAATGTGTTTTGTTATGTACATAAAACCATCATAGTTTCCTAAAGTTGTATGTTAGTTTTATTTGATTTCATATCAAGCTAATCCAAGTACCTATCTCCAATATGTGGACTCCTATTAATCAAGGTCTGGTATCTTTGTCTAAAATGTTATTGAGTAAGACAGTTAGATCTATACCCATATTTGCAACTTCTACCTTAGTCCAAGCAACATAGATTGTATTCCAGAAGTATTTTCAGTAGAAAGAAAAAAAAAGGAAAAAGAAAAACGAGAATCAATGTTTCTTTCTATAGACTTGGGTTGTGTTACTTATCCAAGTTCAATGGGATTGGTTAGATCTTTTGCTTATATGTCCTTGATGTAGGGCCTGTTTGGATTGCTTTTTCTTTTTTCCAAACGAATTTTAAGGTTAAGGAGTTTTAAGAGCTTTAATATCATGCAGTTTTAAGCTCAGTTAGTGCTTGGTAAATTTAACATTTTAATTACTTCAATTTTCAAAGTTGTTAAAAGGTTAGGTAAAAGTAGTGGTCAAATCTGAAAAGTTAGTAAAATAACAAAAATAAAATTCAAGTTAAAAAGAAACTGTTTGAAACATGTTAGGATGTTCTTGTTGAAGAAATGACCAACACAACTCAAAGCACGCCAAAAGCCAAATAAAGCTGGTCTTACAAGCTTTCTTAACTTGGGGCTGTATGGTTTAAGTGATTTAAGTTATTCAGTGGTTACCCAAAATCCAGCCTTTACTCAGAACTAGTTTTAAGCTGGATTCTCGCAAAAAAAAAAAAATGGTTATAGCATCTTCATTCTGAATAGTTGAGGTAGGCTTTCTGGTATGTGGGGATGCTTCTCACCATTTCAAGTATCCAGGGGGTTCTAGGGCTTTTTGAGAATCCAGATGCTTTTCTAGCCATTCCACCCACCTGGGTGCATCTCTAGGGATATTCTTGGTGACCACAGGTTGTGTCTAGGAATTCCAGGAACTTAGGCACATTTTCTGGATGTTCTATGTAACAAGCACAGTTCTGGGCATCCCTGGTATCTAAGTATGTTGCTGACCATTTTAGGATGTTCTGGTGTGGTTTTGGGAATTTTGAATATTCAAGTACATATCTGGATTCTGAGGTACTAAGACGGTTTTTCTTGGCAATATTCAGTATCTATAAAAGCAAAAAAAAGATAAAAAAATGATAAAATTAGGTATTCTCCGTCATTTTTCATTGAATAACAAACATCGGTAAATAATTTTCGTCCTATTTCTTTTCTTTTTTTTTAGCATTGAAACAAAAGAAAAAGAAAAAAGAAAAAAGGGAAATTGTATCCTTTCTCATCAGTTTTTCTCCTTCTCATTTAGTTATTTTTCTCATCCACTTTAAGTTCCAAGCATACCCTTGTGCTGGATTGAACAGAAAAAAATTTCCAAGCACATAGCCAATGAACAGAAAAATCTTTAACAAGTTAACAGTTGTTTTCTTTTCGTGAATAGGATTTCTTGCTTCTTCTCTATGTGAGGGCGACTTGGATCTGATTAACATAGTATTTTTTGCTGATTCATGCAGGTTAGAGGTGTAAGACCACTTCCTCTTCAAGAAATGGCAAATCTGTTTAACAGTCTTCGCGTGATGGTTTGTCCCGGGCTTGTAAGTGATTTTTATTCCTTGCACCTTTCTGTTTTTTTTTTTTATAATTAATTTAGTAAATTCATGCTGCTTATCAATGTACTTATTTCTTCTTTTCTATTTAGGACCCAAACCCTAATAATCTAGTTGCAAGCACAACCTTTTATTCTGAGAGCACACGGGCCATGCTGTGTTTGGTAAGAAGTAAATCTGTTTAAACTCATTTATTGAGTTATTGCAATCGATTTAATTCCCATCGTACATCATTTTGATGTTTGATTATGTTAGAATATACAACGCATGACTCAAGTCTTATCCCTATCTTATTCATTAAAATAGGTAGGCCGATATACTGATCGTGCGAATATTTGAAGTTGTCTAAGATGTAGTATTGCAATTAAAGATGAGGGAAATTACAACTTTGACACTTTTTTCTGTGACATTCAGATTAGAATTGAGACTGATCCTGCAGACAGAACCCAGCTGCGAATGACTATTGCCTCAGGGGATCCTACACTGACATTTGAGTATGTACCTCAATTAACAGATTTGTCATTCAAGTAGCTTTCAGTTTCAAAATTTAGCGCATATTTCTGACATTTACTCCACAGGTTGAAGGACTTCATTAAGGAGCAATTGATTACAATCCCAATGGCTACCCGTGTCCCAGCACCTGCACCAGCAGGACCTCCAGTAGTCCAACCGCCTAGCCCAGCAGCAGCGAATGATCCTGGGGCAATGCTGGCAGGTTTGCTATGACAAATGGAAGTGAGAGATGTGAAGGTTCATTGTACACTTGTAGACCTGATTTTTACAGCCGGCCCACCCATTAGTACGTCAGGCTAAGAGGTATAGGAATTAAAGATGCAAGGGCTGGCGGGAGCAATAGAGAAGAAAATTATGATCAGCAGTATCTGAGTGGGTTTCCAGGGTTGGTCGGAATTTTGAGATTCTTTCTGCACAATTGTATTGTGCTTTGGTGAGGGTTTTTTTTTTTTTTTTTTTTCTTTCCCTTTCGTGTTTACTCTTTTATCCATTCTTGGGGTTACAGGTTTTCTCCATATATTTTTTCCTTTTTCTTTTACCCATAAATATGTTCCCCATTTCACTGGATTTGTATTATGATATTGCATGAAGTTAGAATCAGTTTGTAACAGCGTGTATTTGATTGGCCAGTCCCCTTTAGTAAACATCAATTATAGGAGAGATAGAACACTTATGTTATTTGATTCTGTTCTTGTTTTATTGTCAGATATAATTCTGCCTTCCTGTTACTGTAATCAACAAGAGATCGTGGTATTGTCTTCGGAGCAAATACATATCCCGAAAAGACCCTTGACAGAAGCATAATGATTTTTTTATGGTATTATACTTGCCATCAATATTATTACCATCCTCAGTATAGTACCCCTCGGTTACTATAAATTTAAAAATAATAAAATGATTTTTTTTTTTATAATATCATACTCATCTCTTTACTTAATGCTTAATACATGCTTTGATAAAAGTCATACCTATAAGTAATTTATTCTTGGATAATGTTTTATATCACCTCAATGTCTTTTGCAGTTATGGTTAATGGGATTCATCTTTCCTACTAGCATCCAGAGAGTTTAGATGGAGTGACCCTTTCTCCTATCTTTTAATATGGTAAAGGAAGTTTTGAATCACATATTGATAGGAGATAAAGAATTAGAATTATTTAGAGGCATCAAAGTCAGTGCAGGAGATAACACTAAGGAGGTAGTTCATTTATTTTTTGCGAACCCGGATAAGTTAGTTATGCTCAAGTAAAGTGTGTATTATAGGTCTTCCATACGGTTTTGGGACCTAATATTAATCTTACTAAATTTGAACTGGTTAGATTAGGTGATGATAGTGACTCAAATAGTTTGTTGAGGATCATGGGTGGTAAGGTTGTTAATATGCCAATGAAGTATTTGGGAGTTCTTTTGGGGGCTAACTTCAAAGATATAAGGATATAAGACCTAATGGTTATGAAAGTGAGCACTACTTTTTAAAAGAGAGAGATTTACACTTATAAGAAACACAATGAGTAACATTTACTATATGTTACTATTCCGGCGAGTGTGATCAAGAAATTAGAAGGTATTTAATGTGTATTTTTATTGGCTACTATGAGAAAATACCATTTAGTAGCATATGAGGATACCCTTGATGGATTGGGGTTACAATCTTTGGAGGAGATGAATGTAATTTTACATTGTAAATGGTTGTAGAGATTTACGAGAAACGAAGACATATTATGGAGAAGGGTAATTATCGCGAAATTTGGTCTTGATGAGAGAAGATGGTTTAGAAGAGCTATGTCAAGAACACATAGGAAAGGTTTATGGAAGAAAATTGGCACAGAACGAGCTAAATTCTAAGCTTACATTAAGTGGAATGTTGCCAAAGGTGATAAAGTCAAATTATGGTTGGATTCGTGGTTGGTTGATGGACAACTTAGAGATCAATATCCTTAAATTTTTGTCACTACTTAATAATAAGATATTCTAACTAGCGATTCATTTAGAAAAGTTAGGAGAGAGAAAAATGTTTGGCAAGTTATAATATAAAGACACCTTAACGACTGAGAGATTCTTGAATATGAAAAATTGTTTACTACTTTATCTGTAACACTCCAAACTTTTGAGATAAATGAAATAATAAATGTTTTGTGATTTGAGTCACATTAGTATTTAAAATTTTCGATATGTCAAGATTTGTTAATGATTTTGTTTCTCTTTATATTTTTTCGAGAATTTAATTTGAAATACGAAATTCAAAAAGAAACTGAAGATAGTGAAACGAGAGGCGAAAAAAATTCCCGTAGCCCGCACTCGCGAAACTGCAGTCCACGCATAAAGTGCACAGCTTAGGCACCTGCACGTGGTAGGGTGCCTGCACGCAAGCCATGTACGGCCATGTTGTACACTGTGCATGCGATGAGGCGTGTACTATTCGACAGCTGGCAACAAATTTGCTACTAGCCAACATGACTGTCCGTTACATTAGATGACCATCTCTTGGCTGCTTGGATTGCTGTCACTGGCGCAAATCCAACCCTCGAATTTTCTTTAAAAGGGCCCCTCCCTCTCCCACTCTTCACCATTTTCATTCTCTTCCAACTTCACTAAAACTAGAGAGAGAAAGTGAAGGGATTTTAAAGAGAGAAAGGAATAGAAAAGTAGGAGCCTTACAAGCTTGTTTTAGGAATTTCTAGAAGTTTTTCTGCTCTTCCGAAAGGCTAAATCACCTTGATTTCAATAAGAAATTCTTAATATTTTTATTTACATTTCTTAGTACATTTCTAGTAAATTAAAATCGTTAGAAAGGACTTCCTGCTTGTTTTGTGATTTATTTCGATATGTACTTACTTGGTAATTTAGTGAAATACTTGATTTATCTTTATGATAAAATAATGATGAACTCTGGGATTGACCATTTGTCCTACCTCTGGTAATGACAAAGAAGGTTGTTATAAGAAACTCTGATTTTTAAGGACACCCTGATGGTCAAATTCGGAAATAATGGGTCTTTGGTCGAAAATGTTGACGAGTCACATTAGACTCAGAATGTGAAATAACTATGAATGTGTGATGGATTTGAAATGTGACAGTCATAAAAGTGAACTTGTAAAAGAGAATGAATGAAAATCTGTTAAGCCGTTATCTCTGAGAGGTTTATGTTTCTTCCTCATCTGAATAAATTTTGATGAATCGTCCTTTGTGAATGATCAAAGTTTTTCTTTGATGAGAGTGGACTCGCGAAATGACATGTAAGACTACATTGGGGAAGTAAAGCTGTGGTCACAATTTATACCTCAGAAAGTTATGGAATTGTCCCTAAATGGGGAAATAAACTGACCCCAATGGGGAGTAATAAAATGTGCTGATCATTCATAACGGTAGTTGGAAATCTTTTTTCCCTCAGTAGTTATGTGTCGCAACGGTTACACGCGAAAGTCAGTAAAAGACTTAATGAATAGACAGATATAATTAATGTTAAGTAATGAGGATATTTTTACGTTAGTCTTGAATTATGTAGATGATGTAATTTCTCTGCTGATAATATGTTCTATGTTTTTGTTGTCTTTGCAATGATGTTTTGGTCACCTGTTTCTTTCAAGTTAAAAAGACAATTTTCTTTAAGTACCTAAATTATGATCATCCAGGAAAGCTTGTAAGGTAAGTCTAACGTTATTGTGAAGCTCATGATTTTTTACAAAATCATAATCACTTTTCAAATCTTAGTAAGATAGTTTCAATATTGTTTTTCTTACTTAGTTTACATGCAACTCACCCCCAATTCGTTGGCCCCCAGATGATGAAAGCGATAACGTGCTTGATGTGTTGCCCCTAGAAGCTTGTTTGAATCCCTTCTCGGAACCTTAGGATAGATATGAGTATTTTGTAAAACTTATGCTCTGATGACTCTTTTGTAAATATTTTAATGACTTTGTTTTGTATATTCACATTTTGATAGCCAACCATTGGCCTCAGGTGTAATGTGAACAATGATTTTGTGTAAGGGATTTCTATTCTTCCGCTTCAATGTTAATTTTAGTCATTAGCACTCTTATACATTTCTACTATTCGACTCCCTCCTACCATTAGGTACTTGCGATGTTATATTATATCTTGTGACAATGGATGGTAGCAATGACAAATCTGAGTGGTGTTTCAATTCTAGAGGTATTTTTAAGTCAAATTTTACTTTCAAACATTTGTCAAGATAGAAGATACAGACACCAAATTTCCATATAGACATATTTGAAAGGTCAAGGTCTTGCCTCATATATCTTTTTTTGCATGGGATGCTAATAAAGAGTATATCTTAACTATGGATAAATTAATGAGACGGAGCCAGGTTATATTGAATGCTTGTTATTTGTGTAAAAGAACCGATGAGTCTTGTGATCATATGTTTCTTTTGTGCTCGATGGTGTATAAGCTTTGGAGTATACCGTATAGATTTCTAGGTATTAACTGGATTATGGCGGCTTTGGTTAAAGACGAGTTGTGAGTTTGGAGAGGTATCAGCATGAGTAGGAAACGAGCAAACCTTATGCCACTAACAATGAGGAGTAAATGGCTCTAGACACTGACTTTTTTATTTTTGGGTCAATCTATTGATTCAATAAAAGTTTTAAAAGATCTTATTATTAATTTTGTAGGTATTTAAATATGATGTATACGAGTTGACACTCTTCGTAATAATTAATAATATATATATTTTTTATTTTTAAAAAAAATTTATTGCATCCTACCCAATTATCATATATTTATATAACCTTAATTTGTAATATTTAATACACTAATATAAATGTAAAGCTTTCTTTGTTCTTTTAGGGTAAGTCCAATTTTTTATTTCTTACCATTTTTGCTTATCAATTGTCATTTTTTAAGCTATTATTTATCAACATTCTCAAACGACAATTGAGGTTTGGCAATGATGATCAACAGTCATGACAGTAAAAAATTGTTA